AGAAGAGAAGGCTGAGGGGAGACCTGATCCAATATGCAAAGAGGAAGGTAATTAAATTGTTCCCCCGTCCACCGGGGATAGGAGGACGAGTAATTGGCTTCAATTTCAGCAAGGGCGTTTTAGGTTAGCCGTCAGGAAAACGCTGCTGACTAAAAGGATGGTCAAGCCCTGGACTAAATTGCTGGGAGAGGTTGTGGCATATCCATCATTGGAGGGTTTTATGAACAGATTAGATCAATGTCTGTCAGGAAAGGTTGCAGCTGATCTGCCTCGGGGCAGGGGAATGGACTAGATGACCCCTCAAGGTCCCTTCCAGCCCTGTTTTCTGCGATCAACACTGTCACAACATCCCCATGGACTGTACAGGCCACAGGTCCCTGGCTAACTGCTGCGGTTTTAAATTAACATCCGCTTATCTCTCCTAAAGTTTGCTTCTTTCCCCTGCTGCTGTGGGAAACATCAGCATAAACATAGGGAGAAGTTTCACAGACATAGACATTAGGGCTGGAAGGGACCTCGGAAGATCATCGAGTCCAGCTCAGGAGAAAAATTAAATTTCAAGCACGCTTCTGTAAAATGCATATGCATATAGGAAGCAAATGGATAAAGAGATTTTTTTCCCCCCTCACTCTCATTCAGCTTCAGTGACCTGGGGTGCAGTAGTAACAATACACAAAAATGGCCATATTGTGATTTTTTCCAAAATGGCTGATGTCCTTTTTAAATGTACAAAAGGCTGGGTATGTTCATGCAAGCCCCTATCCTGCAAGGGGCTTTCCCTGTGTACAGCTCCATTGCCTTAAATGGTACAGAGCTCTGATCAGCACTTACTGCATAACCGTAGCCTTAATAATGTCAGTGAATATTTAGTTCTCATTGCTGAAAATACAACTAGAATTGTACCATGAGACTGTCGGACACTGCGTGTCCAGCGCTGCGGGGAAAAGAAATCACCAAAGTAAGAGTTGCTTGAATTTCTAGATGCATTTCATTTCTCATATTAAAATAACCTTTTAGTCTAAGATCTGAAAGGAAGGCAAGAGGCTCTAAAGTGAATCCCAATCCCTTGCTACATTTATCTGAATCAAGCAAATCTTTTAAGTTTATAGCTCTGCAAGGGACACTGAAAAGGCAAACTCTATTTTTCTCAGATTACAGTCCAACTCCAGCATACGAGATGATGAACATAGATGCCACTAAGTGGAAACTATCAAAATGACAGATCTTGAGGCCTGCTTATCTACTGAATAAATAAGTATGAATGTATACAAAGTACATCCATAAAGCCAGAAGAGAGAGCTGGGGCGGAGATATAGTCTGACATCCAAAGTACAGCAGATATTTTCAAATGTATTATTGCTAGTCTAAGTATTTTCTCATGTGACCTTTTATATAAGTCTCAACTAATTCTGGAAATGGGGCAGCATTAGGCATAAACAAAACCCTAATATGAGCACTAAGCACTAGGAATGCTTGTTCTCCATATAAGGTTGCCAGTGGATTTCTCTCTTTATGATACTGTCAAAAGTTGGCCTGTTTCACGTAGCTGGAAACTTAATCTTGCTACAGCAAGGGGATGCCAAGTATCTTAGAAATCGTACAATTTTGAGTAGTAAAAGTCATCATCTTGTCTTGTTTTATATGATACGGTGAAAGCATATATGTGAAGACTAATGACCTCAGACACTACATCAAATTGATTACTTTAATTGCTTAAAATGTCAAAGCTATCACATAAAATTGCAGTCTTTCAGCAAGAGCATGAGAACATAACAAAACTGTGTTCAGTCAAACAACTAGTTAAAAATCTAAACATCGCCTTCAGAAAAGGGGGAAAAAAGCAAGTTTACTGGATCCTCACATCAAGAGATTTGTTTGTGAGTATAATACATATATAGGTGCAACTGCTTCAATATATAAGGAGTGTTTTAATAGCATGCAATAGGAAGTTTACATATTCAAAAATCATGTTCAATCAAAAGGGTACAGTTTGGAAGCGAAAGTTTGTGGGGAGTTTTTTCCTACAGAAATAGCTAGGTCCAAACATTAGGAAAGGAGATGATTTTAGTGTAAGGATAAGTATCCTGTACCATCTCATGATCTTAGGATTTCAATGTTGTGTTGAATAGATGTATCACGTTGAATAGATTTAAACGTTATGTTGAATAGATTGAACAATAATGATGTCCTGACGTCTACTTATTTGAAGGAAAATCTTTGTTACTTATTTTCTCTGGGAGGCCAGACATACTTTTTGCTCTTAATACCTATATGGAATACTTTTGATCTAATTTGTAGGATCAGTTTTTCCTAATGTATTATAGGGAAAAAGCCATGGGATTAAATCCACCTCTGGAGTTAGAGACACAGAATGCTTTACTTCGATCACATGCAAAATGAGTTTGATAACCGAGGCACCTTACCATATGATCCTTATTTACATGACAGTACTATTTGTCTGCTGTTTTGTTCCAGTCAGGCAAAGGCCCAGGGTGAAATAGCAGGGTGCGGAGCAGGATGAAGCTGCATTGGTTGAGTTCCTGTAGGGACCGAGAACTGGGTTTCAGCAGAGTTGTGTTACAGGTAAGGATGAAGGTTCATTGGCAGATCAGTACCAAGTGTAGGACTGCATTGAAACGGCAGGGATGAGGTAGGTGGGGATAGATACCTGCTGGCAGGGCTGGGGGTTTGCACTGGGATAGCTACAATGCTATGTTAATAGTCTGAATGCAACTCAGGCCTATAACATTAAAAAACACTGGAAAAGAAGTTTGCTGTGAGAGTTTCCTTCTATATGTATTGCTGCAGCATCACAGCAGCTCATGGAGGATTACCCTGGTTTAGGGGGATTTTCCAGTAACATAACACAGCCCCAGCCTCACGGCAGGCACAGCTGCTGCCCTCCAGCAACCCTTGAGTACTGAAATAGGTTTTCACGTGGCATTAGGGCTAGATGGGACAGCGCTGCTTTGAGCCAAGCCTGTTTTATGCCTCACCAAGCGTCTAGGCCCTACCCAGCTCCAGGGTTGGGTGCGAGGACAAGAGGCATAAAGGTGCCACGTGGTCACATCTCTCACCATCATTTTTTTCTTTGTGCCAGGCATAACTCAGATCGAGGCACAGACTGAGCCCAGCGCACATCCGAGCATAACATGCTCCAAACAAGTCTCAGCCCCGCTCTCTGTTTGACCTCTGTGGAGCATGTGGTTATCCGCAGAACAACTGCTGACCACCATGGGAACCCACACTGTTGTTAAGTCTATTTATGCCAGGGATGGGCAATTATTTCAGGCAAAGGGTTGCTTGACAGGCAGCCAGGGGCAGATAAATATTCATTTTCTAAAATTTTTAGGGGCCCAGTGGGCCAGATAGGATGGCCTAGCGGGCTGCATCTGGCCCATGGGCCGCATTTTGCCCACTTTTGATTTATGCTCTTCCCTATATGCCTCTCCGTCCCCCACGTCCTCTGCAGATCTACACCACTAGCCTTAAACCATCTCCTCCTCTCTGCATTTACACTCTCCTGAGCTTTTCCACACTCCCACAGGCTCCAATAGACCTCTTCCGAGCTTCCCTGCTCCACCTTGCCTTCCCATATCCTGTGTGGCCAAATCCCACATGCTGCCAAAGACCTCAGCTGGCCGCTCCTGCATGCAGCCGTCACCATGGGCATGCATCTGTTTTACAGACACCCCCGGCACCTGCCCTTTCTACTACCAGAGAGAGACCCTGGCGCAAGCCTACCTTGAGCACACCAGGTTGCAGCCTCTTTTCTGCCCCCAC